TAAGTCAATCATAGAAACGGTATCTGCGTCTCTCTTGGAATGTCCGCTTGATTTTACGATGTGCGACATAATTAAGAGCTTGATCTAAAAAGATCGCCAGAATGCCGAGAGAATATAAAACGGTATAAAATCTTTGTCTCACAATCAGAAGATTAATTTCCCAAGTAAGATTTTGTTAACAAAAGCACGAAGAGAAGCCGCAATTAAAGTCTATTTTGCAATAATGACCGTGATGATGCATATAGTTGCTTTCAAGGAGAGAAATAAGTTTCTAAAAATATACATATAATATTTATGGAGAGAATCATTTTACGTCAAGCCTTCGATTACTAAAACTCGATTCAGCGATTATATAGTTGTCCTATAGCTGTTGTTCGCTTGATAGTTCATTAGCATAAACGATGAGATTATGCCAGGTATTTCTGAACGTAGAAAAATCGATAATGCGCGACTAATAATATTTCACGCAGATAACGTTTGGCAGGCTCGATAAATTATCTAGTTGTTTGCATGGTGTATTGTGCGACTGCGTGTGAAAATATTTAAAAAAATGTAAACTGACACGACAATAACACTTTATGCGCCGCTATTAGCGGTCAGTTCTATCGTACGCACTTCGCGTTTCGCAAGGAAGCCACGTATCGTAATATCAAGATGATAATATTATATTTTGGCAATGCTTCCAACTATTTCAACTTATAACATTGATGCATTTGATACGCCTCATAGAAACGGGGCGGGAATTGGATCACAAGGTTGTTGTTGAACTTGGCACCTGCGACGTTTGCGGCATTTTTGGTTTCCTTCTAAAATTGAATTCTATTATAATCCGACAGATCGATACACTCGCCCTTCTTTACCAAATCGAACAGAGAGACGGCTTTATGTATTCAAATAGTTTCTAAATTTATACTTTAAGCATTTCTATTTTTCGAAAGACAGTCGCATGATGCCATAAACATTTCCTGTGCAAGATAAATTTATGCTCTACAATATTATCGTTGCCACAATGTGCAAAACATGTCACGTAACTGAGCGACACACGTATTCTGACAATTTATATGTAACTCTAACGCGCTATATACGCGTACAAAACAATTATGCCGGAAAATTATTTTCGCATACCACTCTCGCATTTTAATTAATCTCGTTTTTTTAGCGTTTACGATTGACATAGACACCTGTTCTGTACACCAAAATCAATTTTAAAAATAATAAAATATATGTAAATACTATAACTTCATAGCAAAAAGCCAAAGTTGTTGCATATTTTATAAATGAAAGCTAAAATTAAAAAACTGTCTAAAAAGCTAAAATGTATGCGTATATTTCATCTTATTTTATTTGCACACGTTTAGCTGCTTTAAATATCCACAAAGACAATAATTCAGAGGATTCAAATTCCATAACGCCTACGGTCGATGTCAACCTAGTGTTCGTATATTTTATTTCTACAATCTATTATGAGAAATAAATGATCTTATTTTGATTCCAATCTTATGATCTTGATCTTATTTTGTCTGTTTGTTTCTCCGAAAATAATTTTTTTATACAAATTTATGGTAGCGCTAATAAAACGTCGATGTCTCGTGATTGCATAAATACTGAAAATAGAATCTAGAATTATGACATTTTTTTATTTAACATGACATTTTCAAGAAATATCGCATGTAAAGTGAACTTCATTTTCACACAGATGTTTCTGGCACTGTCGACGCAATGGCCGTCGGTTAAAATTCCTCAAAATTGCCTCTCTGTACGCGTGGTCGACGATTTTCCATGTATTCTCGTTGCGATGAGACATGCCAAGCGGTGAAAATAGCGTAATTCACACGTTGGTATGTGCTAGGCGGGATGGGTGTAAATATGAAAAATGAAAAAGGGACAATCCCTCGAAAAATCTCGAGGTCTCTGCACATGCCAAGTTATACAGAGCGTATCGGAAATACTTTTTAGTAGAGTAAAATTTATAAAGAAATTTATAAAGACCTTAATAACAATGTTGAGGTAAGAAATGAGTGAAAAGCCTTTGTTAAAAACAATTATTAAGATTATTTTCCTCTCTAATTCTACATAATATCTCGGTTATTCTGAAACACTCTATACATTTTCACTCTATACATTTGCACTCTATACATGTTGCGTTGCATTGCAATTGCATTCCATGTACTGTTGCGTTGCAGCTGCGCCTGCCTGCTTATAATACACACGTTTAGCGCTTCGAGAAGCGCGCGGTTGCGGCAAATATTCACACGGATACAGACGGATCGAAAAATATGAAAGGAATAAAGTAGCAGTTCAATTTCGAAAACTCATGATTTCTTATGCGTCAAACATGTGGAAAATTACGGAGAAAATTGTCAAAATTATCATGTAGAATTCGCCTCGATTTAGAATCACACAAAAATATAATGTGATTCATACCTTACGTATGACGTATATAAAATTGTTCAAGTGATTAAAATAAATGTTTCTACACGATCGAAGCGTATAATAAATCGATGATAATCGCAGTATGAAGAGAGATCCATGAAGTAAATTCATTCGTTCTCTTCAAATCTAATACGAGTACATGTCAAACATGAGACAGTAAAGGGAAAGCGAGAAATGGGCAAGTCGTAAATGAAACGACAGATTGAAAAGATGTCGGTTGAATCATCGATGTAAAAAGAATATAGATAAAGCCATCTACGAGAGGAAACTGAGATCAGCTAGTAAGAAAAGACTTCAGATCTCGTACTTCGGGTTGTTTCGGTTCGACTCGCTATCATTTAGTTCATAATTCACACCTAATTAATGAGAATTCTCACGTCTTCTACGCACTCTACCTCTGTCTGTCACCATTCCCTGTTCACTGTTCTAACCCATTAGCAAAATAAAGAAAGTAAATGTGGGTTTTGAGATATAAAATATGCAATCACAAATTAGTCTCTCGAGGGATTTTTATAAATTAAAAAATTCTGCAGTTCCAAATTATATTTTTAACAGAGAAAACAAAGAAATTATCAATTAATATTTTCTCAAATGCCGCGGACTGTTTCAGAAAACAGCTAAATTATTCTTTAGACGGATTTTAAAAACACATATTTTTGAACTGTCCGAAATACAAACAAGAAGTTTGAATGCAAAATTGAGAGACTAATGACAATATCAATACTTCTTTTCGATGCCAAGCTTTAACAATATTATGAATAATACATAAGAGCTGTGTTATCTGAATGCAATGAATGCAAAAATACGACCGTCCCAAATTTATTTTCCGATTGCTAGTTAATTGCTTAAAAGGCAAATTTAGCCATGGACAGCCAAACAGCGATCAGTTCATTGTTCTATCGATCTTTAACGGGGTCATAATTTTACCCGCCAGTCGAAGTCACCCCTCTTTGTTCGATCTCGTTGGATCCGAAGCTTCCGGCGCGATAAACTCTCGAGAATTTCGGTACGCGACAATGACCGACGATTGGTCTATTTTCGCTAGTTTATTGAACCCAAAAATCTCTCAAATCGAGTTAGCGTAACATCCCAAGAAATCCTGCAGACGATTTTTCCACTTCGCAGACATGAAAACTTTTCGAAGTGTGCGTCAGCAAATACGTTTACATAAATCTCATCTCTAGATAATTTAATAATTTTATCTCTCTAATTTTATCTGTCAGAGAAATCAGCGGATGTAAATTGCGCTGAATAAATGTTTATGCAACGCGGTTTCAATAGCAACTAGCGTGCTTCTCTACAAATCTTCTAGGAAATCCGCAGTTAGAGTAACAGAGATGCTGAGTGAAATATTTTATAAAAAACGCTTTGATGGATATGATGTGTACGTAAAGATATTTTAATCAATATAAATCATGAAACATTTTGTTTTCTGTCACTATAACACTTGGAAAAGAAAAACATGATTCTTTTTTCAGCTAAAAAAGAACTCGGCGGTAATAATATACAGAATAATTTTCTTTAAATGCAAAATATGTTACTTTTATCAGCCCAACTGATCAATGAATCTAACGTGAGTTTCGAACCTGATGTGCATGTTGCATTTGCATAGGAACACCTTAATTACTTTGAATTGACGTCATATTGGTAAACAATCTCGAACGTTTTATTGACGTTAATTGTCAGTTTGTAAATATAAAATCGCGATAATCGGATTTTAATATATTGTCAGTTCGCGTGCCACCACTTCGGCTCTCTTACGTCATCGGCGATCGCGCAACACGAACCAGTTTAACGTGTCGAATATAAATCGAGTCCTTCCTTTCTTTCTATTCGCAACTTTCTCGTTCCAACAACGTGCCGAACGTTTACACCCCAGCGAGTCTAGGTCAGGAACGTTGATGACGACAGCTACGAACGTCTGACCTTAGATCTAATTTTAAATATCTCGCGGAGGGTGACTTACGATGCAAAGCGTACGCAAGCGGATTTTCAAAAATTATCCTTTCATTTCTCGCATCTCGAATATATGCAAATGCATTACTGCAAACCACTTGAGAAGGGCAAACCCCGTAATAGAACACCGCATAATTAAAACGTTCGTAAAATCTGTTAAATAACAAAATAGTCTTTTCATATACTTTTAATTTAGTTTTAAAATTAAACTTTCACCTAATTTCTTTTCTTTTAATATACCTTTAATATACGCATTTGTTTGCTGATAAACATCCTTACAAAACGTCCACTGTTAACAACAATTCGATAAGTAAAATGTTTTAAATTGTATATACTTTACGCGTAAATGTCTGTTATAATTTGGTAAAATCATTGATCACTTATTATATGCCTACGTCTGATATAATATTTTATCTATTAATTGATACGCTCATCAACTGTTTTTAAAAAGAGGCAATAATTTTTTGAAAATTTAGATTCCGCAATAAATTAATGCGTAACAGCCATGTTTTTAAAAGTCCGCAAGACAAGAAAAGTCGAGCTTGCAATATTATTTTCCTCTAGAACATGAAACCGATTTTGATCAAAAACGACCGTGTCTAATCTCTCACCTCTTGCTCCTGAATGACGCTTTTCACGCTCTCCGCGATCTCGCTCGCTTTGACGAGCCCGGTCTCCGCGTGCTCCACCTGCGAGTGTCGTCGCCCCTGCACATCCGTGGCCAATTCCTGGTAGCAGGACTCCCCGGAGCCGCGTCGGCTGCCCGCGATGCACATGGCCCGACGGAACAGGCCGGCGACGACAGCACACAGGCCGCATTGCATCCCCGTGGCGCTGCCACGGCTGGAGAGCGACCCGCCGTTGGCCCGGCGACGGGCCCGAGACCCGCGGGAGCCGCCGTCACGTGCCTGGGCCGCCAGCTTCGCGTGTCTGCGCGCACTTTTCCTACTTCTCGCCTCGCCGAATGCCTTCGGTCCTGCACACCCTCCTCTCCGCCGCGCGTTAGTTTCCCTCTCACGTCATCGCGTCCCCCGCCGATGCACAATCGTACGCACTCCTCGCACTTCCGCGATTCGCGTCGAACTCGCGGACTGCCAACGCCTCTGCCGCGTCTATTCTATTACGCGAGTATTCGCGCCTTCAACGATAACGCCGCACCGGCATTGCGTGTCACCTATACGACGGAGCATGATGAAAGGATCAATCGAAAGTCGAACAAGAGGACGAGAAGTCGTGAACGCGGCATTTAGGAAGCGAGAAACAAAAAGGAGGGAAGAGAGCGTAGAATGCGGTGTATTTTGCATTTGGAATTGCGAGGCATTTCAAAATATTGCGCGAGTTTAGAAAATGTGACATAAACGATTTATATTAACTAGCTGGTACATATAATTTCTCAGAACAATGTATAGAGATGAGAGAAAAACTATTGATTGTTGCACACAGCATGTGGCAATATGACCCGCGTGTAAAGAAACGACTTGACGATAGCCAATCATCTCTCTTCCCGTTTCTTTCTCTGAAAATAATAGACACAAGAGATGATTGTCTATTGCGTTGTTTCTCTGTCGCCGCATCGTCTGTGCCAAAGACATTAGGAAAAAGAAAATAAAAATAAATAATAAGTAAAAACACAATAAATTAGTTTGAGATAGAGAAAGTAGAAAAGAGAATCGAGCCAATTTTTCTAGAATATATAAAAAAGTATAATAGCAAAAATTACGATAAATACATAAAGAATTGCATTTGATTTTAACAGAAAATAAAAGTCCGTAAACTTTTTCAAGTCGTAACAGTATCAATATTTCAATATTTCGATATAACTCATTCTTAAAAATTCCCAACATGTCAATTTTCATGAAAAAAGTCGCTCTACAATTTGAAATATTTTCCGAAAGAGACAAACAAAAGAGAAACCTCATTTGATATCTGTTCCTAGAAGCTCAGAAAAAACATATTTGGAAAATGACTCAATGTACTTAATATAATCATATGATTCGAGAAACTCGATGGATAGTGACAAGAACGAAACGATCCATGTTCAAACGAGTCAGGCAATCAACATAAAAAGATGCTTGTGCCGTTCTACACGCTAATGCAAATGGCAAAAGGCCGTCTGGTATCACGTGGATGGAAGCGTATACGTCGCGTTGAATTTTAATAAGACAACACGCCGATGAAGACTTTTCGACGTTTACGCTTGAGAAAGTTATACGGCGTATGACGATACACTGCGCATTATGCATCGCTACTTCGTCGTAACACAATTGCTTTGATTTATGCTTGCTTGAAGCGCATATAGTATTAGTTCTCGCAATTAATTCTTGCATATTAAATATTTTACATTACATTATTCTTCAAAGGAAAAACAGAAAACAAGCAAAGGCACATAATCATAAAAGAGCAAAGTTCAAATAATAATTTTTCTCCATTCCGACTTTTTTAAAAATTTAGATTTTAATATTCGCGAATACAAAACGCAACTAAATATAATATTACGTAATAATACGCGTTTATTCAGAATATATATTCAGAATATGAGGAAACGCAACTTTTGAAGAGTGCTGGATTCAAAATACATAAAATTAGAAAGTTGTATGTAATTATACTGATTTTAATTGATGTAAAATAATTTTTTTGAAAGATTGTTATAACTCATTTAAACATTATGATACAAGGAATATTAAGGAGGAATATTAAGTAGTTTTCAGAGATACATAAAATTGAAAATTATATTACGAGTTAATTAATAGAACATGATTGTAAAAATCTATAAATTAATAAAATGTCACGATACTAATTGACAGGTTTACAAATACGCGGTCGCGATAACATGCAAATCATAATTATTATCTAATATATAAAATATGAATGAAATGAAATAATATATGGAATATGAAAGAAATAATACTTCTTGACGATTGTAACAATACTCCTGTCTAAATTTGCTATCAGTTTCTTATAGATTATTACGAAGAATTCAGAACTCGACTCGATCCTCCTATTCACGATAAGATAGGTGCTACCAGCGAATTGAGAGTCCTATAATGAAAGAAAAAATAAATATCGGAGGAAATTCTTTTCATCGTCGCCAACCTCGACAGCGAAAAAGAGCTTTCTTAATATCTTGCGGAATAACAATTTCAAGAATACGAAGCTTCCGCGGAATCGCTAAGAACGATTTTCATTCGCGTGCTTGTGCGTCGATTGTTTTCCTCGCATACCGCGGCACGACATTATCGCGCAATAAGACAATCAAAATGGAATCCTCACGATTGCTCCATTAACGATCGCCTTCTCTCTATATATTTCTCTATCTGCCTCTTTCCTTCTTCATTCTTGTTATGCCTATAATTAAACTCCCACTATCATAACTGCATCCCACGTAAATGTGATTATAGCGTAATTTACAAAGAATGATAATTGCAGATAGCTCTATGCTAATTAAGTTGAGAAACTCAAGAGTTCGTCTCGATCGATCACATACGAGAATCGAGTCGATAGGTTGTCAGTCTTTTCGCACGCCCCCGAAGCACTCTACCCAGGATCTTTAATCTGCTGCCTCGTAATGCCATCTCGACACCCTTCGATACGATGACGCTTTGTGTGCCTCTCTCTTTCCCTCTCTATCTCCCTCCCTTCTGTCCCTTCCCCCTCTTTATCTTGGGTAGTGGAGAATTGAATTGACCGATATAGAGAAATGGATATAGAAAATAATTGATAAAATTTGACCATGTTGCGCGATAGAATATGACTGAAACTCGACAGCAATTTTTCCACATCCGTCTCCCTCATTCTCTTTTGCATTTCATCTCTCGCTTCCTACGTCTCTTCGCGAAAATGTACCTTCGTCGATTCGAGGAGACACTGCCTCTTGTCGTGCGACGACTCGCAACGACTATTACGCGAGACGAACTGCCGCCGAGGGGTAACGCCCGTGTAGAGATCGCGGCCGGTTCCTCTCTGGGACGAGCCTGCGAGCTCCATGACCGCGTGCTTCCCGGGGTCGATCTGGGCGGAAATGGGAGCGACCGGGCCCCGGGGCCCGGCGCCGTTCGCGGTATAAGTGCGGCGTCGTTCAATCGTCGAATTTGACTCACAACATCCGCTTCGTATACACGTTAACGAAACAAACACGGCGAACGAGCGATGCTTCGCGCGAAAAACACTCGGCCCCGGGAGCGCAATACCGTTATCAAACGACCATGCACGCCGGCCGGCCGCTGTGCACGCACTGAAGCACTGGACCCGACCGTCGAGCGAAGAGAGAGACGAGAGAAGAGAGAGAAAGAGAGACTCGGTCGGTCGACGCTCGCGACCTCGGTCGTGCTCGGCCGACTCCGTGCCCTCAGCTTCGGCCCCTACTCGCCGCGTAGCCACGCTGCTTCCCGGTGATTTCTCTCCCTCGGCCGTACGGCGCCGCCGATATACGACAAAGGTTGCCAACGAGAGAAGCTCTCACTACGCTGCGAGCTCTCGTCGCGAGAAGCCAGTACGCGGCATGCCGCCGTCGCTATAGAGAGGGAAGAGGGCCGGCGGCGCGCATGAGGAGAAAGGATCAATAACAGATCTCTCCCTACCCTCGTGAAACGCGACGCGGGGCGGACGCGCGCAATATACGCACGCATTTATACACGGACGGACCGACGGGCGCGTCCCGCAAAATTCTACAGCCCGTTCCCTAGGGCGGATTCGTCTCTGTGTCATATGATTTCGCGATCGTAAGGCAGGTGTAAATGCGTACGCCCGGCAGAGGATTATCGATCTCCAAGGGATTTTATAGAACATTAAAACGAGAGATGCCGCGCCGCAATGTTTGGGGAAACTTCGATTGCGAGCTAAGCCTCGGTAAATTTGATTGTGAAAAAAGGAAGGAAATGCTGTGACAGTTGTATCATATTATATCATATATATGACATAATATCAAATTATAAAATATAACAAATATCTGAAAATTGTAATAAAGATTTATGATCATATTTTTGAAGACGCTAACGAGATGTTTATACAAGTTGTAAGTTTATTTGGAAAAAAAACAGCCACTTTAGATAGCAGAATCACTTGATGGATGAGCCCTTTGGAACGAATTTTTCCGGCAAATTCATTCTCGTGGATATTTCTTTTATTATGAATGAATCTACATAACACAAATACTTTGTATTGTATACTTTTTCGAAGTATGCAGTAAATTATCGAGGTATTTGTGTTATTTTTCACGATTTATATTGAGTCGGTGATGAGTGTGTGCACAACTCTCTTACACAGAGGTATATTTGCAGATATATTCACAACAGAAAACACTCGCACATAAGCACAGCGGAAATACGATGAAACAGATGGACCAACTAGGAACGTGCCAAAGATATTTCTACTCGGATGTTAATCCTAATTTATTGCCTGCCTATGCTAAAATCTCGTAGTAAAATAATTAAATTATTGTACACACAATTTCATCGCACACATATAAAATACGAAAATCAGGTGAACATACAAAATATTCTCACCAATTTTGATGAAATTTGATCCACACAGGAGACAAATATACGTAAGTATGCCTTGGGATTTTGCGGAATTTTGAAATTACGTTGTATTTTAATATTATATCAATCCCGATTCTGAAGTGGCCTATAACAGACGCGATATACACGCGCGCGCGAATGTCCTCGTTTATTAATCCGTCCGCGATGACGTCATCGGACAGGGTAATAACGTTAAGTAATATTTGCCAATAGGTAGGGCCGACCCCGCGAGATCCCCGGGGAGCCTGTGACAATCTGTCCTAAGGGTGCTTCGGCAAGGGCACAGCACCATCAACTAAATTACTCGCGAGCGTTTTTCTCACAGGTTGAAAACTTCGACAATTAGTAATAATTTAATGATCAGTATTCTTTTTTTCCGAAAAAATCTACAGATTCAGAAGTCGATCACTTATAGTATTCATTGTCGCTTCTTGTATGACGAGCCTTTCGGCGGAACGAGTTATGTCTTATTCGAAGCAACAAGAAGAATTGAGAAAATATTTTATACATAATAGTGATGTTTATACATTTATAAGATAAAAGCTTTTAAGATTTCTTCCTAATAAGTCCGCGACAAAAATTAAAATTATTTATATTAACATTTTAATTTAATAAAACATTGTTTTAAAATTATTACTATATTTATTATACGAGGGTCGGCACGAAAGTAATGCCTCCAATTTTTTTTCTCGGAAAATTTAATTCCTACAATTGTAGTTTTTACACTGAAATAATTAGAAGCTGTCTTCTAAACTGGAATGGATTGTTCTTCCTCAACCCCCTCATAGTCTGGATCTGGTACCCTCAGATTACCACTGAGAGATACACGTAAATGTTATTTTGCCAGAATGCACATGGATGCCAGACGGCGACGCGCTTAAAAAAGTGTTTGTGAAGCCCTCAACAATCGCAGTGAGAAATTTTACGGGTCTGGAATACAGCGTCTGATTGAAAGATGGCAAAAGTACATAGAAAATGATGGTGACTTTGTGAAAAAATAACTAAATGTTTGTTAATGACTGAAGATTACTTCAGTGTAAAAGCCATAGTTGTAAAAATTGAATTTTTTGAGAAAAAAAATTGGAAGCTTTCGTAACTCGACCCTCGTATAATATTGTTTAATATGATATTGTGTGTGATAGTAAACTTTTATCCTAGTAATTTGCACGATATCTTATCATTTTGT